CTCTCTCTCTCTCTCTCTCTCTCTCTCTCTCTCTCTCTCTCTCTCTCTCGCTCGCTCGCTCTCTATGATATATTATATAAAGTATTAGATATTACTTCGCGCAATCGTTGGCACGATCGAGAGACACGCTCGCTGCGTTTCAGCAACGACTGTTCCATCGAACAGGAGGTCGCTGGAATTCTTAACGAGACGAGTATTTTGTTTCAGGTATTTCAAGGTTTATACAATATGTACACGTATCTCGACTAGAACAAAAACGCTTCGTAACCTGGGTAACGTGTTAACCGTTTAACCGTTTTGGGAGGTGATTAACGAGATTCTGAGGGAACGAGGGAAGGGGGATGCGGTGCATCAACACTGTTTTCGATAATTATTTCGGGAAGGCTGTTATCGTGTCTTTCTCTTTCCTCTTTTCGATCGATGCGGCGCTCGAGGAAGATTTCTCTCATCGGCCGTGGACCACTCGCCGACGACGATGATAATGACGATGACGAGACCCGTATATGTGCGTCCATCTACCGTCCTCGTTGGACCTCTACCTTGCTCGGTTGCTCCTCGTTCCTAGACCGGGCAGACCAGGAACTCGTACTCGAACATCAGCGAGACGGCGACGAAGACGAAGTAGAGGAGGAACATGGTGAACCCGAGGCCCTTGTTCATCCGCCACTTGAAACAGGCGATGCTCAAGATGACGAACAGCAGCATGCAGAATAGGATCGCTATGCTGCACACCATCCCCACCGAGTTCACTTCCACGGGCCTTCCGTAGATCAAGCCGTACAGCAGCCACGGTACCGGAAGCCTGGGGGCAGAAATACAACCGAAAATCGAGCCGAATTTCATCACGGTCCAACTCCGTTTATACGAACGAAATTTTCACGCTTGATCGACTTCTTATTGTCTCTGTCTAGAAAATTAAACAAAGGATTAATTCGTTCAACGATAAACGATAAATCGTGGTTGCAAAATTATTTGTAAAAATTCTCTATTAATTGAATACGTTTTGTTCGAAGCTTCTCGTACGAATGGCTATCAAACTCTTGTCGAACGAAAAATCACAATCGATGGAGGAAAAGAATCGGATGGAATCCTATCCTATCCTATGACATTCTTCTTATATGCTTGTCCTCCCCCTCCATTCAAGTTCACATAAACAGAGTTCTATTGTTCCGTATCTGTTAATTCCATTTCGTTTTATCAAGGAAAAAACGTTCGATTATTTCTCGTCATAAAAAATATCTTGATTCGACGATTACGCATTCTCTTCGATTTACCACTTGTATATTCGTACATTTCCCAGAGAGAACTGTTTACGATCAAGTGGCCCGTGACCTCTTTCCACTTGACGTTGCAGCGAATTGAAACTTTTCGCTCGGAAAAAAAAAAAAAAAAAAAAAAAAAAAGAAAGAAGATTTCGAAACATTCCGTGCATACGTCATTCGCGACCAAAGGATTCAACGCGATGTCGACTTTTCTTTATATATCCTGTCGGTTGTCAGTTTATTCGCGACCTCTTCCCCCTCCCCCTCCCATCCCTTATCCAACCACGAGCACACAGAATATTAAAGGAAAAACTGGAACGCGGCAAGAATTCGCGATAAATCTTATTCGATCGTCGCTTTGCGTCAACCATTATTTTCACCGCCTCTAATTCGTAATCTTCGAGCCACGATCGCGCCTTTCCCGATATGTGTGCGCCTTTTCATCCTGAGAGTGGCAGCTACGCCCGAATACGCGGTGCACAAACGTTCTCCCCCCCTTTTCTCTCTTCTCGGGCAACGTGCCAGCTGGCATCTCTGCAACGACCGAATGCGTGCGACCGAATCGATCTTCGATCGATCGACTCCAACCCCGAACACATCTTGGCCGGGAAATCGTGCGTGCACACGTAGCGTGTACGCGCACATGCGTGCGCGTCAAACAGAGCGCGAACGTGGGTGTGTACGCGTTTCAAGAGTCCACGTTTCGGCGAAATCGCGGCGGCGAATTGATCTCGATTCGAGTCGTATAAACTGTCGCGTCTGCCCGCGCGCATACGCGCTCCCCTCCCCCATCTGCGAACACCAGAACCGCTCGAGGGGATTGGAAAAAGGGAGGGGGCGGTGTGTGCGAGACTGGTTATTTGGTTCACGTCAGGGAAAAATTCTGCCACGAAACTCTGTTTGCGTTTATTGTTGGCGTATCCTCTCACCGCATAATCTCTTCTGACGACGTTATTGTCGCCTCAGACCATTATCCCTCGCATCGATTCAAATTTCGGTCGGAAATATGTTAAAGATATTTCTCCCCTCCTTTCCATCCCCTATCCATCGTCACACTTTCGAGAAAAATATTTTCTACTTTCGAAGATGAAATTTATCACGGCGCGTTTAACTAATTTAAGACGATTAAATTAATTAAACTCGATTACTACCAACGACTTGGTTCGCACAGCCTCTTCCGCAGTATACCATTAACTTCTTATTTCTTTTCTCTCTGCTTTTTCGTCGAAGAAAACGTATCGTCGTAATCGAGAGAGAATATTTGCCAGCAAAAAAGTCTATTCTTCCATCGAGCGAAAAAAGGAAAAAAAAGGGAGGGGATCGGACGCGGTGTTGATCGAACGATGATGAGTCGCGTCTGGCATAGCATCTCTACTATTTCACGCGCCAACGATGTATAATAATAATAGAAAGGATGCGTTGAGAAGGGGTTACGAAGATACGAATGGAGAACGGCGAACGCTATTACAGGGAAATAGCGAGAATACCTCAATGGGTTGGCGCAACGACCAATTCCACCTCTTGCCTCCTCTTGCCTCCATTTGATCATCGGTGAAATTCCAATTTATACGTTCGAATCCTGTTCGTATAATAACTAGATAACGACCGTTCTATCCCCTTGCGAGTTTTTCAACAATTCATGAATCCACTTCGAATCGGAAGCAAACAAAATACATATATATATATGTATGTATCTCAATGAAGAAGAATTTTCAAAATCACGGCAGATTGTGAACAGCTTTGAAGAATTCGAGATACTTCGTCGAACTTCATCCCCCAAGTTTCGAAACTTTATAATTTAATCATCTCGAATTTGAATGTCATTTAGCCCAGCCTGGAATAATGGATACTTAAATCCCTTTTGCGATAACGCGGCAGAGAAGAAAGATGTATTTTCCAAGTTCGAAGGACGATTCTTTTCTTTTTTTTTTTTTTGTTTCTCAACAATTCCCGATATACAGTTTCCTCCTCCCATTTCGAGAGGATTGTAAACGTATTAAAAATCGCTTACTCGGATCTTTCGTTCAATGATGTTATTCATCTTCCAAGATACCTACGTTTTTTTCTTTATGGAACGGCAATAAATGCAAATTAACCTCGCTTCGTTTATCGCGTACAATATCTTGCTTGTTTGTTGAACGAAGAATAGACGGATATAACGTCTATAGAACAAAAGTTGTCGCGTATATAAAAAGTTTATAGGAATTACGTTAGTTCTATTAAATGGCAAACGTTGGTTTTAATTTTTATCGTCGCTTGCACGATAGTCTCGAGATATTTTTTTTTTTTTTTTAAGATCGTCCGTTTTGGCACGGATAATTAGGTCGTTCGAGATTTTTTCTTTTTTTTTTTTTTTTTTTTTTAAAATCGCCCTTTTTGGGCGGGGAATTTGGTCGTTCCCCCCTTTTTTTTTTTTTTTTTTTTTTTTTTTTAAAACAAACATTCAAACTCGAGCGAAGAGGGTTTTCTTACTAATAGCAACGATGGAAAGATTCGATTTAACCAAGCTAAAGCCGAAAACCCCCCATCGGCTATCCATATTATCCAATTAAATTGATTGTGGCCGTGCACACGTTTCCGATATTTCCAATAGGTTGCCGATTGGCGAATCTGTCAGAAGACCATTTTCTTCAGCCCCTTTCATCGAGTAATCGTTCCCGACGTCCAGTAATTTCCGTTCATCGAATACACCCCCTTTCGGCCGCAGCCCGATCGATCCAAAGTCTTAAGAAAAGTTCGCGTGTTATCCGCCACACGAAATGAAAAATCTTCTTAATCGCCGTGCGTCGAGATTTTACCTAGAATTTATACAGGCGACGATCGTTTCCTCAGATTTCCTTTCTTTGGTGCGCAAATATGCGCACAATCGATGAAAAACCGTAGTAGATACGATTAGGCAAGCGTTGTCGGTCGACTCATCGAGCAATAATTCTTTACAAAAATCAATCAGATTAATTATAATACGAAATGAAAATTATAGTACGAAAAACCTCCGTGTCGAAATTTCGTTTGGAAGAATGAAAAATATAATTCAACGATATCGGTTGATCTTCGACCTATAATCTATAATCTCCTGCAGAAAAATCAACGACTAATTAATTCTTTCGTGATCTTTCAATCACAGCGAACTCTTCGAATCGCGAAAACGAAAATTTCGAAATAATCGTGGACGAGAGATCGAATACGAATCGTTGAGGCGCGCGATGAATACGCGAGCTAACGAGAGATTCCACCGGCTCAAAGTGACGTAATCTCATTACCCTCGCCTTAACCACTTTCCGAAGAATAATGCTCCGTTCTCTTTTTTCTCTCGGCTATGATGTAAATTCCCGTAATTGTAATATGAAATAGACTCGGTCAAGTTTCAACTCGTGGCTTTGTGCGAAAGCGGAAACGTTTCGTGGAGAGAGAATATTTAATATTTTCATTCGTTCGCGTTTAACTTTTATTCGAATCGTTCTCGTCGAATCTTTGACAATTCTCGAAATCGAGGTATCTTCTCGTCGAAAGAAAAGAGTCTTTAGAAACGAAAAACGGAAGATTGGATTCTTCCAGAGATTTTCTTCCCTTTCCTATCAACGTCGAATCGAGTGTCCCGTATTAAAATTGCCATAACCTCGATAAAAACTAGCTATAATCTAAATGACCAGCCATGATCTAAACATCTATACCCCCCTCCCCCCCGACCTACATCCGATCGCGAGGGAAACAGGTATGAATCGAAGAAGAAAGGCGAGAGAAAACGTCTTTCGATTCGACTTATCCATCGGGATAGCTTCTCTTATCGTTATCACAAATCTCCATATGGGCGAGCGATCGCGATAAATAATTCAAGCGGAACATCCCTAAGGTGGAAAAATGCAAGTAGCACAGTTTCCAACGAATTCCATTCGTATTCGTTGCACCGGCCGTTTCCATCCGCCGTGCGAGTTTCGTTCCCTGCAGGAATATGGAAAGAAGGAGGCGGCGCACAAAGGAGAAGAAGGGATTCGTGGCGAATATTCGACGTCGTACAACGCTCACCCAACGGTCACGTCGAAGATGTTGCTGCCAACCGAGCTCGACACGGCCATGTCGCCGAATCCTTTCCGCGCGACTATCACGCTGGTGATCAGATCTGGGATGCTGGTGCCGGCGGCGAGGAACGTCAGGCCCATCACTTCCGGTGGAATGCGAACCGTGTCGCCGGCGACATTCGCCCACCAGACCATCAGGTACGAGTAAGCCGCGATCCAAAAGATCGAGCCGATGAACGTCACCGCGAAGAACTTCTTTCCTGTAACAAACAGACCGGATAGAGATCCATCCACTCTCCGGTATCCGGTTGAAAAGAGATTCCGCTCAAATCGAATCCCCTTTCTTTCTTCCCTCCCTACTCCCCCCTTCGTCCGAAACTTTTCCCTACTCCTTGTTTCTTCTCCTTCCGTTTCTCTCTTCTCTTCTTCTTTACCTTTCTCTTCGAACCGCGTTTGCCCGAGCGCCGAGTTTGCAATTTCGTGCACACATTTCGGTGAATAAGCTTTCGCGTGTTTGCGCGTGTGGAAGGAGAGAAGCGGAGCGAATGCTTGCACCACGCCCAAGACTTTTGTACAGCGATAATCGAAATCTAAGCTCGAATTCTCGCAATTGCATTAGTCGGATAAGGATCCAACGATTTCTTTATCGGTTAATATTATCAATTTCGAGGATAAGCTTTTCCATTAGATTCTCCCTATTGTTCGAGAAACAATCTATCAAGATAAAGAAAATAGAGCGAAAAAAACGACTAGATGGATCCAACAAAAAATATTCTCCATCCCGTTACAAAAAGGATCGTTCGCTTGTGTGCTCATCGTGCACTTTAATTATTATCCCGACATCGAGATCCCTATTAATCATCGAGTTTACATCTAATCAGGATTGGTGACCTGTATATTTGTAGACAAAATCGAAAACCGTGGGTCCTGAAATTCTTTTTTCTTTTCTTTTTGTATTACGATAACAGATAAACAGATCTTAAACGGGAACGATTCTCGAATTATAATTTCTCTTTTTACTCGAGTTTTACAATAATAACGCACAAGACGAGACACGATTACGAACTACGATGATTTCGCCGATACCGATATTCCGATGGATCGACGTTGAAATGAACGTTCACCGATTTCGAGGTGAATATAAATTGAAATCGAGAGGTCGTTTTCCAATTTTGCGCAACAATGAAAATCTAGCGCTCGCCGCGGAGAAGCTGAATACGACCGCGAGGTAACAATCAGTCGCCGATTCGAAATTAGCGTGTCAATATCATCTTTCGTCGGTGGTATTGTGTCGCGTTGAAATACAGGCTGTTAATAGGCCGTGATAATGCACCACGTCCGTGATTGATGGAGACACGGGAAACGGTTTTGAATAACAGCGCGTGTCGTCTCTCGTCCATCTTAGAACCGTTTAATTGCATCGTTCGATCTTCACGCCATTCAAGATTATTATACGCTACACACGACACTATTTAAAGGGAAAATTTCATCATCGATGTCGAGCATCGATTGAAATACAAATTGAATACAATTTAGAAAGAAAGTAAAAGAAAAAGAAAATAGTAGTAGAAAAAGTTGCGAATTTTTCTTCTTAATAACGCGTATTTTTAATTTTGGAGATTTAAGTTAAGGAAAAGTTTAACAAAAGAAGAATCGCTATATAGAACGACGATTTACAAAAATCTTACATCTAAAAATGCTTCTTTATTTCAATAGTTTCGGTATATTTTGAGAAAGACTAAAAGAAAACTTTTTAAAGTTTTCACGAGTCAATAGTATTCCAACTTTTCGGAATAATCGAGAGAAAATTGGACACGAAAATCGACGATAGAAACGCCCGACGAATTTTTTTTCAAAGACAATGGAATATTTCTGCGTGACTCGCGCGATCGAGCGGTCGCGTTAAATAATGCAGCACGCGAATGGAAATATCCGGTTTCGATTATTGCGCCGTTAACTACGGAAGGAAGTTTCGCTATTTTTGGAGAGAATTTCATTATTGCGCAAGTACGATCGACGTCCTGGCTAAATACTGGAGGAAGGAAAGGAGAGAACCGGCGAGCAAAGAGGAAAATTGGTCCACCGAATTACCTAATCTCCCTACACACCTACCACCGGTCGGTGATATTCGTGGCTCGTAAGTCGGCTAACCGCTTACTTACAAAGATTACATTCCGTTTTAGCGGCAGAGCTTTGCTAATTCCTCGACACGAGAGGCGTATCACATTCAGTCCTCTATCGAGAAAGGACATCCGCTGCGCGTATATAAGTAAATTAAATGAAATAAATTTAATCGTGAAACGCACTATGTTTGATCGAGAAGATTCTGGATTTTTTTTCATTTATTATCGCGCAAAGTGATTGCTAGGATTCCGTAGAAATTTAAACGAATTTCTCCGGACGGAGAATATAAAATTCGTTCGCGGAAAAAGCTCGTGGTTAAACCGTAAAACTCGTACAGATCCTCGAGAGGACTCTGTTTTACGATGAACCGAGAAACCGAGAAGCGAGAGCTACTCCTTTGATATCCCCGCTATGAAACTAAAAACTAAAAATTTACTGGCTTTCAACGGAATAGGGCTGGGACGGAACGCTGGTTTCATTTCGCCTTACCGGCCTTCCTCCACTCGAAACGATACTTTGTTCCTTTCTCGGGGTAATCGAAACAAAGTCTCGGTGACCGGTGGTGGGTTAAAGGATCTCCGAGTAAACGACTCTTCCACGTTATAAAGTCCGAGGGCTTTTTCCCTTGCCTCGTGGCTACCACTCACCTCTGGGTGTCCTCGTGTCTGGTAACGTGAGCCAAAGAGGGAATAGAATTGGCGCGACTAAAATGTAAGTTAACCTCTTCCTGGCACTGCTGGGCCACCCCATGTCCAACGCTTCCGGGGGGTCATCCTCCTCTCCCTGCAACAACAAACATCAATTTCAAAGGCACGATTCCTTGGATGGAAATCGTTCGCTCTCTAATTAACAATCCCTTCCCTTAATCCGTCTGATTACGCACTACTCGAGAGAGCTCGAGCGGAATTAAGAGCAAGTTTTCCTACGAACTGCGCTTCAACGACGATTATCGTTGGAGGGGTGCAATAAGGCTCGTGGTAAAAGAGACAGGCCTCTAAATTTTACGCGGTGGATACCGCGGTAAAGGTACAAAAGCGGAAACCCTTACATACATATATCCATCCTCGGGTAACCGCGACACAATGGCCTCGTAGATGTTTCGGATTTTCCAGCTGCAATCGTTTCCAACGGAGATAATTGCCGTGGAATGAAGCGACGCCCAGTAATTCCCCGTCTAGTACACCAATAATTTTCATCGAGGCCACGCGACCGAGCACCTAACGCCGTGTCGAGCGTCGGACCAGGGATCGAGACTCTATCGCTATCACAGAAACGCCGGATAATACCGAGTAATCGAGCTTCAAAGAGATTGTACTAATAGCAACGTGATAAATACTAATAGGGGATACGAACCAGAAGTAGAATAAAGCGAGATTAATAAAGATCGAGATACAAAAGAGAAAAGTTGCGGAAAGATAGACGGACCTTGAAGATCGACAGGCCAGAGAGAGAAAAGAAAGGAAGAAAGAGAGAGAGAAAGAGAGAGAGAAAGAGAGAAAGAAAGAGAGAGACAGGGGAGAGATAATCGTGCCAGAAGACGCGGAACTCGGGCGGAAAAGGCATTGCCTGGTGACTTTGCTTCGATTATCCGGGAGTAAAAGAGGGACTGAAATAGGCAATGTGTAGCGCAACGACGCCGGGTGTAGCCAGAATTGACCCAGATTCGCGATGCATTCAAAATGAAAAGGCCTTCTCACTCATTTAGGACAAAGAGGTTCGAGATTCTCCCGCGCGCGCCTGCTCTTTCCGACCACTAGCTAATATCGGAAAAAAGCTTGCGCTGCCAATTTCTCAGTCGCGGAAAATCGGTTCGCGCTTCAATCGTCCGATTACTTTCTCCAATTAACTCATCGCCACGTCCTTAACTCATCTTCCGTTCCTTCGTAGCTTCGAGGTAGGAAACGGCGAATGGCCGTGAAACGTCGCGTTTCTCTATTTGCGACGATTTTCGTCACATTTTCACGGAACGTTACCTTCACCGACGCGAATAACACACGAGAACGAGGTGGAGAACGTCTCGACGACGGTGGACGACGGAGTCGACCGGCCACAAAGGATATTAAGCTGAAAGCCGAGATGGCTCTAGACGGCCAACTTTCACGTCGAATCGCTCGAAAATGAAAGTTCTCGCCCGGGAAAAAGCCACTTTTCGCAATTGTCTTGTTTCCCCGGATGTCGTTCCGCTATACGAAACGACCCAATTCTCCAACGCCCGCCCATTGTCTGCATCTCCGCTATGAACGTCTTCGTTACGATATACGTGCCAGCCATCCTAGATGGAAGACGCGAGAAGGATCGTTTGTCAGAAGCCGACCGGTCGGAAAATAAGGAGTTCCCCGAGTTCATTTTTCCTATCGGTTGATCGCGTCCATCCGAATTATCAAGCGTCTATCTCTGACCGCGATCAGATGGGCGGAATTTCAGATAAGAACGATAAGAGGCGATATCGATAGCTGGGCGTCCGCATTGAGAGACAATCGGCCGCCACACGGTGTGGACGATCATTTCCCCGAGAGAGATCGGCGAGAAATATTCCCTTCGTAACGTGACGTGACGTGACGCAGATAAAAATTTATCGAGCGTAATTTCCTCTTCGAATCGCGTGTAAAATCTAATAAA